TTCGATTCTTTATAATAAGAATCAAAGTCATCAAGAGACCAAAAAGTCAAAGGACTTTCTGCTGCCCCTTTCTTTTCCCTGTAAGACATTGCTATTTAGTGAATGGGCTGAGAGAAGAACTGTTTCAGAGGACACATTTGAGTAAGCGCTGAGAAGTCAGATCTTACGGCTTGCAGTCCACCCTCCTTAGTCCCATGAGTGACACCTTCACTCCACCTACAAAGAGCCTAACCTGTCTACTGTGCAGCCTGGAGGTCAGGGTAGCTTCACTTCCCAACCAACCACAACCCTGGGATGATGTGCCAACCACCCACAACCCTGGGATGATGCCTGGTCCCTAATTGTGAACCATCATTCTGCCCTCATTTGGCCTCATCTATGAGGACACCTGCATAGAGTTCCCAGGATAACTGAAATCCAGAAAGGGCATGGACCCCAAGGGTGGTCTAGAGCAGGGGTCCCCACCCCCTGGGCCATGGACCTGTACCGGTCCATGGCCTGTTAGGAACCGGGCTGCCTAGCAGGAGGTGAGTAGCAGGTGAGCAAGTGAAGCTTCATCTGTATTTGCAGCCGCTCCCCAGCGCTAGCATCACCACCTCAGCTCCACCTCAGATCATCAGGCATTAGATTCTCATAGGAGCACAGGTCCCTGGTGCCAAAAAGGCTAGGACTGCTGGTCTAGAAGCTCTTGTGTACAGGCTCAGGAGCTGAACTGAGCCCTCTGGAGAAGTAAGAGCTGAGCCAGTAAGATGTAGAGTCCATGACTCATTCATAGCTGAGTGCATAAGCATAGGCTGGAGGCCACATGACTCACCATGTTTAACAGAAAATGACCTGGAGGTTTTAAATGACTCAAGAGCCAATATGGAGATTCATTCAATGAGGCCTGGGATGTCGAGGCAGCTCTGAGCCCCGCACTGAGGCACATCAACATCAGAAGATAGAGGGAAATGAGAACCAGAGCAAGAGAAGATTCAGGTGGTATAGAAGAGCGAAGCTAGTTAAAATACTGTCACTAAAATCCAAGAGGAGTTGAATTGTTTTTACATTAGAGGACAAAACTAAAACCCATGAGTAGGAATTCTAGGGCAGCAGATTTAGAAAAGAATAAGGAAAATCTTTTAAACAGAGCAGCACAGCAGCAAAGTGGGCTGCCTGTGAAAGGCTCTCAGGGAAGTGGGCAAGAGCATGGCTTCAGGGGGAAGCCACTTGGGTCAAGTCCTAGCTCTATTACTTAACAATTGTGTAACCGTGGCAGTTTCTTGACTTCTCTGTCCTCATCTGTAAAGTGAAGGAAATAATGGTACCTTTTTCCTGGGGCTGTTTTAGGATTAGGGGTCAATGTTTGGAACAGGCATTGAATAATGCCTGACATATGCATACACTTAAATAGATGCTGAATATTCACTAGAATTATTATTGCAAGGTGGTGAGACCTCATTGCCGGAAAGAGTCAAACCCGACAGGATTTGTGTCAGGGATGCTAGAGGTCATCCCTGCACTGGCTAGGAGATTGAATCAGACCACAGTGCAGAGAGGAGAGCATGGGCTTTTGTAGAAGAGAGATTATTTCGTGATATGACCACTAGCGGACCTGCCAGTTGGATCCAGGCAGAACAGAGATTGCTTCCTGAAAATCCCTTTGGAAACTGTCTGATGGACCCCAGCCCTACGCCCCACGTCATGCTGGTTTGTGCTGGTTTCCAGGGCAGGCCGTTGCCCAGCCCCTGGAACAGGCATGTAAAGCATGTTTTCCATATCTGAGGCAAGTCATGCACCAGTACCTCTGTCTATCCTGCTCTGTCCTATATAAGCCCTTAGCACCTGCCGAGTGGCATAGGATATCCGTGTCATCTTGCTGCCTCCCGAGACAAGCCTGCTATGTAAGTTCTCTTAATAAACTCTTGATATAATGAAGGAGTTCTCAGCCTCTTCCTACGGTCTCTGGGCCTTGGGAAATTTTACATAACAGCTTTAATGGCAGATGGCTCTAGTTTCACATCACACAGCTATCACTGTGACTTTGAGCAAATCTCCAGGTCTCAGCTTTCACATCTGTAAATGAGGCTGATATCTCTCCCTCCACAGCACTGTCACAAGGATTGAATAATCTCATATACAGATATCCGTCTTGTTGTTTGTGCTTTTTTTCGCATTTGTAAAATCTCAAAAAATAATAACAAAAGATATTTAAAGAATGATCACCTGTGTATCGTCCCACATAATGGGGGCAGAGTAGGTATGATTGTGACCCCCTATCCTCCTTCCCCAAAGCCCCATGTTTCCCCAACACCAGAGCTGGGCTTCAGTAGCTTTCTGGCTGGTCTTTTCGAGCTTTTACGCATGCCCTTTCCTTTCAGGCAGCTTTGCGTGACTCACCCCTCTTTGCAATTAACTGTGATATTCTGCTGGAGGCTCTCATTACAAATGATGAGAAGAATAGCCACTGTGGCCTAAACAGGGTCTGGCGGGTGGACCATTTCGGCTCTGCTGTACTGCCAAAAAGACAAAAGATGAGCCACTGGGCGTGTCATGGCTAGCTTGCCTCTCTCCTCCTGCTCAGTTTTGTCTTCTCCTCCTGTTTAGTCAGTGCCAAGGGCTAGACCTGTGTACTCACATGTGCTCACCAGCACCTGGCAGGCTAGTAGGAGCCAGGCACCTAGGCAAGGAGAGAAACGCTATTTCTTCTTTTGGAGTTTGTCTTCCATTGAATTCAGTATGCTTTCATTGAAAACCTACTCTGTGCCAGGCACACAAGGGGATTAGACATGGATTTGAAGCAGTTCTCATTCCCTAGAAGTTTAGAATTCACCAGGAAATGAAGGCAAATTCATGGCTAGTCCTGAGCCTCTTCGATGGCACAGAGCAACCACTACAGAAGGACAAAAAAGAAGGGGGGCCCTAGAAAGGCTAAATACGATTGCGTTTTTGAGCATCTACTATGTGCAGGGTACTTTCCTTATCTCCTTTGATCCATACAACCTGTGAGAAATGGGATGGTTACCACCCTCATTTTACAGATGGTGAAACCGAAGTTTTGAAAGGGGAAATAACTTGCTCAAAGTTACATAGCCAGTAAGAGGTAGAACCAGGACAAGCTTCTGAGCTCAAAACATGTGTTCTTCCAAAAAGCCAGGCTGCCTACTTCTTAGAGAAGGCTGAATTTGACCTGGGCCTAAGAGAAAGCTGATAGTTGAGCCAGCTCTGGGGGAAGGGCCTTCCTTCTGCTTCCCTGCTTCTAGCTGAGTACAAACTGCTCTGAGCTAGTTACTATTCTCCCCTCTTCCCACAAGGGGCTGACAAAGCCTCAGGTAGGCTTGGGGAGGGGCACTTGTAGTTCCTCTCTCCAGCCTCCACCTGTGATTCCACCCTAAAAAAATACCCACACTGTCTATTCAAATAGAACTGCCTGTCCACTGGAACCAACAACCAGGTTGATTAGCACCTGCTGGGAGCTATTACTAGATTATGCACCCTTAATAACCCATTCAGCTCTCTAACTAGCTGGGCACAAATACATACTCTATGTTACCTCAAGGCAAGTTTGTTCTTGCCTCAGGCATAGAATTTTAGACTATCGGTGCTGGAAGATAACTGAGTTCAAGTACCTCTTCTTACAGATCCCATACTGAAGTTCAGAGGGAAGGTGCTGGCCTGGGAGCTTCAAGAAAGGACAGCAGAAGAGGCGCTATCTTCTCCATGCTTCTCACCTATTGGGAAGGACAGAACTAAGATTTATTGAGCCCATCCTCTGCAGGAATTTTTCCCAGATGTTGTGGTGTCACATTTTATTCTTATCACAGCCCCGACATGAGGGCTCTGCACCTCATTTTCAGATGAGAAATCTGATGGGCTGAGGAGTACTAGAACATGCCAAGGTCATGTGAGAAGAAGCCAAAGTGAGGACACACACCTGTCTGTCTCCAAAATCCCACCACACAGCGAAAGGAGGCAGGGTTTTTTTTTTCCTATTCCTATTTGGGCTTGCAAAATGGGCTTAGGTGTGCTATGGACCCAGGAGGTCTAGCACATGGTTCCTCCAGCTCAAAGGGGCCCAGGACTGGACCTTCCCACTGGGGGAGTTATGAGCTGCCTAAAGTAATGACCAGCCCTGAGTAGGCACAAAGTGATACGCAGAGGGCTATGGGAAGTATACTTACTTTTCTTGCTTTGTTCCTGGATGATTCATGCAGCCCACACAACAAAATTAATGTCTTCTCCAGCACAAGCAAATTGTATTTTCTTCTTTAAAAAAAAAAAAAAAAAAAAATCACAATCAGCCTGCAAAGGGCCCTGGTTTATTCTGGAGACATGGAGCCATCCTGTGGCCACTTCCCTGGACAGATGCTGCAATCAGGACCCCAGAACGGGAGGCCTCTCTGAAGCTGTCTCCAGATCCTGCGTTCTGCTTCTGGTCAGACCTTCTGCCCCTGCAGGTAACATTTTATCACACTTGTGTCTCCTCACATGGAAATGATGTTCCATGTGTGAGCAAGTGCTCGGAAAGCCCCCATCACCACATCCCTCATGAAGTCCCCTTACCCGGGTGGCCAATTTACTCACCTCTCATGCTTTAGCTCCAGAGGTCCACTCTGTGAGCTTCTCTGCCTCCTCCCACACCCCAGGTAGCATTACCCCTCCTCTCTTTGTGGCCTCACCATCTCCGTATGCAGGTCTCTCACAGTAATAATAAATGACAGCCAACATTTATATAGTATTTACTATGTGTCAATCTCTGTTCTAAGATATACAATAGCCCCACGCCCCTTTGTCCGTGGTTTTGCTTTACATGGTTTCAGTTACCTGTAGTGAACCATGGTTTGAAAATATTAAATGGAAAATTCCAGAAATAAACAGTTTGTAAGTTTTAAATTGCGCACTGCTCTCTGAGTAGTGTGATGACATCTCAAGCTATCCTGCCCAGGATGTGAATCATCCTTTTGTCCAGCATATCCACGTTGTATATGCTCCCTGACCATTAGTCACTTAGTAGCCGTCTCGGTTATCAAGATCAACTGTCGTGGTATCACAGTGCTTGTGTTTGAGCAGCCCTTATTTTACTTAATAATGGCCCCAAAATGTAAGAGAAGTGATGCTGGCAATTTGGATATCCCAAAGAGAAGCTGAAAAGTGCTTCCTTGAAGTGAAAAAGTGAGTACAGTATAATATTTTGAGAGAGACACCACATTCACATAATTATTATATCATGTTATAATTGTTCTACTTCATTATTCGTTATTGTTGTTAATCTCTTACTGTGCCTAATTTTTAAATTACATTTTATGAAAGGTATGAATGTATATGAGAAAAACAGAGTATAAATAGAATTTGGTACTATCCGTGTTTTCAGGCAACCATTGGGGGTCTCGGAACATATCTTACTGTGGATGAAGGGGGACTACGGTATATGTGTATGTGTATGTATGTATATATACATTACTTATATATATGTGTGTGTACACACGCTCATTTAGTCTTCACAATCCCATGAGATAGGCGTTATTATTATCTCGGTTTCACAGACGGGGAAACCAAGATATAGATATAGGTTAAAGCAATTTGCTTGAGTTCACTCAGCTAGTTAGTAGCAGAGTGAGAATCTGAGTCTCTTCAGTCATGTTCCAAATCCTTTATCCTAACTACTATACCCTACAGCCTCCAGCATTAGTCCCAGCTTGCTGATTTCTCAGGGACCCCTCTATTCTGTTGTCTGCTTGAGGAGAGGCTTATGTCTTTTTCCTCTGGGTGTGTCTGTTTGGCTCAGGATCTAGACTACGGCAGGGCTTCACGTGTGCTTCACGAAAGGATGCATCCCATCTGATAATAGCACCCCTGGGGCAACAGCCCTTCCCCTGGGGAGGGAGACAGACCAATATCCAATATCTGTGGGAAGAAGGTTCCAAGCAGAGGGAGCGGTAAGGGCCAAGCTCTGTGGTGGGTTCTGCATAGAGTGACGGAGAGGAGCGGGAAGCCACTGTGGCTGGCGCAGAGTGAGTGACGGTGACGGTGGTAGCAGATCACAGATCCCTGTGGGGCACGATGGGGATTTGGGGTTGGTCTTAGTCAGTAAGTGCAGTGTAACCAAATACCACAGACCGGGTAGCTTATAAACAACAGAAATTCATTCCTTACAGTTGAAGTCTGAGATGAGGGTGCCAGCACAGTCGAGAGTCTTCTGGATTGCAGACATTGTATCCTCACTTGGCGGAAGAGGTAAGGGAGCTCTGTACGATCATTTTTTGTTTTTTGTTTTTTTTTTAAAATAAAAACATTAATCATATTCACGAGGGCTCCATCTAAGCACCCCCAAAGGCCTTACCTCCTAATAGCATTAAGATTTCAACTTATGGATTTATAGAGGAGACAAACATTCAGACCATAGCAGGGTTTTTTTTCAAGTGTGTTGGAAACTCTTGAAGAAGCTGGTACGATCTAGCCCGCTTTTAAAAATGTGAAAGCACGTGTGTGTGAGTGATATCACCCTCAGTTACCGCGATCAATAATGATGTTTGGAGTTTACAAGTAGTCTAATCCGTTACCACTGCCATTTCTCAACAGCTCCCTCCCTTCTCAGTCCACATTGCATCTCCATGAACTTCAACTAGAACTTACAGTCTCAGTCTGACAAGAGACACAACTAAGGGAACAAATGCAGTGCTGTTGATACGAGCCGTGAAGGGGAGATGTAGGGGGCTGTGGGAGCAGAGAAAAGGGGCTACTCAGTCAGACAGGGGCTATATCAGTGGGAAAGTCAGGGTTGGTTTCTGGAGGAGGTAGCGTATGACATGAGACTTGAAGGATAAGCAGGAGTTGGCCGGGAAATGAGTGCAGTCCAGACAAGGGACACCATACACATGCAGAGAGAAGCCATGATGCTACTGTGGCTGCACCCTGATTTCCTCACCCTCTTGTCCTTCAGTACCCATCTTTCCAGCTCCAATGCTTGCCGGACCGGGTGAATCCTCTTCTGCTGCTGAACTTTGCTATAAAAATTTGCCACCACTGGTTCCAATGCAAATTCATACTCCAATCTTAGCTGGACCCTTGGCCACTCAGCATTCCTCTCCTTGATAATTAACTGCCTGCTACATACCCCACAGCATGTACTTCAGACTTCTGTTCTCTTCCTGCCTCCCTCACTCGACAAGGGTGAGCAGAACGCGTGTTATAATGTGAACTCCCAGCTCCTCTCTTCTGATTTTCACCTCAAAGAATGTTTGTGTCTTCAACCCTCATCTCTTTCAAATGCTCTCAGAAAAAGATGTGATTATTCTTCTTAATTAAGATAACCATTTTTCTTGCTTCGTTTGGATTGTATTTTGGGGTAACCACATAGCCCAGGTGGATAAGGGGAAGTTCTTTTTTATAGAAAATTTCAGCTTTAAAAAAAATATGAATGCAATGTAGAATTAGAAAATCATCTTTTTGTAATCTCATTTGGTTCTAGTAAAAATCATCTGTAGATGAAACAATCAGATGGCATGTTAATGAGGAACCTTACATGGAGAGATAAGGCTGCCACCACCTGACCCCTGGTGCATCTTAGGAAGATCTATAAGTATGGGATAACCAATGCATGGGCCTCCTGATGCGATGAAACATACAGTGGGTGGCACCCTACTTGCACATGGGAACCACCTGGGGAGCTTTAACAAATAATGATGCCTGGGACCCATCCCCACCAATCATGATTTAAGAGGTCTGGGGTGTAGCCAAGGCATGAAGGTGTTTAAGACGTGCCCCAGCTGATTCCAATGAGCAGCAAGGTTGCAAACGCTGTCACTTGAAAGACAAAGCTAAAGTACACTCATGAACTGTGCTTGCCCCCACGGAGTTGGTCCTAATCAAGCCTGTGAAGTTAATCTCCAGTTAAAGAAATTTCAAAGGATAGAGAAACAAGTTAAGTGACACTGTGAGGAAGCAACCAGACAAATCCAGAATGTGACTCATTCTTCTGAGCAACTGACTCATTTCATTTTTTCAATATTTCAGTGGCTTTTAAAAGGGGGCGAAGGAACTATTCCAGATTAAGAGACTGTGAAGACATAAGAACCATGGAGCACATGGATGCACTTTGGATCTAGAATTGGACAAGTCATTTTCTACACACCTGGGCAAACTTGATTATGCACTAGATACTAGAGGCTTTCCAAGAGTGGATGACCATTTATTAGGTGTGTAATTACATTGAGATAATGTAAGAAATGTTTTAAATGCCATGTTTTCTAGGTGTAAAAGGGTGAAATTTTAGGAGATCTGGGGGTGATCATTTTGTAAGTCGTATAAATCCCTAATCACTATGTTGTACACCTGAAACTAATGTAATATTGTATGTCAATTGTAATTAAAAAATTAAAAAAAAATTTAAATAAAAATTTTAAATTCCAAAAAAGAGTAGATGAAGCAAGCGTGATAAAACTTCAGGAATTATTAAATCTGGGTGAGAGTTTATGGGTATTCACATGTTAGTCTCTACTTTTATATATGTTTGAAAATTTTATGATATAATTTTTTAAAAAAGGTAAACCCTTTGCTTTCCTAGTATCAGATATTGTTATTACTTGTACTGTTACATCTGTTCCCTTGTTCCAACCTCATAATCTGCAGCAGCAGCACTAGCACCAAGTGAGACAAGGTACTGTGCTAAGTGCTGTAATTCCCACCACAGTCCAGTAGGGTAGGTGGTGCTACCCTCACTATGCCGACAAAAAACTGAAGTTCAAAGAGCTGGTCACTTGCTCAAGGTCACATAGCTAGAAAGGGGCAATCGGGATTAGAAGCCAGGCATGAAAGCCCCTAGTCTTTCACACAAAGCCCCACTATTGTCTTCTTTCCTTCTCCCTCTCATCTTCTCTCTCTACTTCTCCACCATCTCCTTCCGCTTCAGGCCCTCACCGCTCTGAAAGGACACGTTCTTAAGCCCTTCTGTAGCAGTCAGTCTTTTCTCCTTTTCTCTCCCCCAGACCGCTGGGAAGACAGTCACCTGCATCTCCTTTCTTCATCCTCACCCCCACCCATTCCTCAGTCCCTTGCACTCTGACGTCTACTACCCAAGGCCACAAAGGACCTCAAGAACAAACCTAAAGATTGTTCTCCACCTCATTTAATCTCCTTGCTGCATGCGATCCACTTGCTTGCTCTTTCTTTCTTGGAGCCCTCTCTTCCTTGACCTGCAAAGAGAGATTCTCCTGATAACTGCCCTGACTCCTTCTCTGGCTCTCTGTCCTCCTTCTACAGGCCTAATATCACCTTTCATAAGGCACTAAGCAGTATGATCTTCATTATCCATATAAGCATTTCTCAAAATGGAGCCCTAGGACAAGTATCACAATCACCTGGGGTAGATGTTAAAAACTCAGGTGCCAGGACCCATGCAGACCTGCTGAATCAGACTCTCAAAGTCTAATATCTTCATTCTTAATAAATTCCCCAGGACATTCTTACATCGCTAGAGTAACAATGCTTTTCCTGGTGGTGCACCCCTGCCAAGGCCTCCACCTGCCACTTGCAGGCTGATGATTTTAAACACTGCAAATCTATTATAGCTTCAGCCTTTTCTCCTACCAGTGACCTAGTCTTGAAACACCAGTCTCATTGTCTATTCCATCCTTGTCCTCATTTCCCACATGTGATCATTTGCCTCATTCTGTTCATTTTGTTTCTGAACCGTTCCTTGCACCCATTCTCTCCCCTTGTCCCACTGGGCCCCACGGTCCTGCCCTAGGCACAATTCTCATCCTCTCTCACCTGGCTTATTGCGTTAGTTTTCTGAGAGGTCCATTTTTGCTCCCAGAGACTTTCCCATCTTCTGAATCTTCCTTCACAATGCTATAGAAACACTCAAAACAAAGCACTGATCTAAGTATGTGAATTTCCCTATCTTACGACATGCGGTGGTTCCCTAGTGCCTATAGAATGAAATCTACATTCCTCCATTATATGCCCTCCACCTACCTTTCTAGTCTTATCTTTTATTTAAATCCAAAATGATCAAAACTAAAACCACTTTTTGTTCTCCACATATACCTGCGCTTTGCCCATGGGGGTCTCTTCTGTCAAGGATACTTCCTTCCTCCTGTCTTAGATGCTGAAATTCTTTCTTCTGTGGCACAAGTGAACCACGTTTCCTGGTCGTCTTGCACTTGTGTGATCCCCTCTCATTTGGATCTGGGCTGGCCAATGGAATGTAGTAAAGTAACGTTGCATAACCCCCAAGGTTAGATCATAAGAAGCTTTCGGTTTCCCCTTTGGTCACCTAGAATGATGTTCTGAGGGACAGCTACATGTAAGAAATTTGACTACCCTGAGTTTGCCATGTTGTGAGGAAGCTCAGCTAGCCAAGGTGAAGAAACCTACATAGAGAGAGACACCCTGTCAGCTCAGGCTGTTCGTGCCATCCCAGATGAAGTACCAGACATGTGAGCGATGAAGCTTAGATGCCAAGGTCAGCTGAGCCTTCGGGTGATGACTCCTTTGGATTACTCCAGCCCTAGCTGCAACCTAACTGCAACCCCATGGGGGACCCCAAGCAGGAACTTCCTGGGGAGCCCAGTCAACTTACAGACTGAAAAAGTATAATCAATTGCTGTTTTAAGTTTTAGAGAGGTTTGTTATACAATAATAGATTTCTGGAACAACTTTATTCTAAGTAAGTTTCAAATACCCACTTCTCAGTGCAGAGACCCCTGAGCCCTCGGAATAAATGAATCGCCCTCTCCCATGTGCTCTAGCAGCTCTCTTTGTATATCAGAGATGAGACCTATCACAGGCTGACACACAGCTTAGTTAGGAAAGGCAAGGATTTTGTCTCACTCATCTACGTGGCTCTGGTGCCATTCACGGTTCATGGCACCAAGTAGATGCTCAGACATTTGCTGAATTGAATCGATTTCCTTTCCCTTCTTCAGTCCCTTGAGGCAGACAGGCAGCCTCAAGACATAGAGAATCAAGGAATGCCAAAACGAACAGTATTGACTAGTGCCTCTGAATGTGCCAATTGCTCTTGGCAAAGCTTTCCAAACCAGAAGGAAGGAAAACCTTTGAGACAATTTTCAAAAACTGACCTGAAGCGAGATGAAGAGGCTAGAGGCGACCATCATTCCTTGCTGACAGCAGACAAACATTTTGGACCTGAGCTATTTGTGCCAATAGCACACTTCTCCAGCTCCCTAGAAGGTTCCCACTGGTTCTGGGCTTGAGAACTCTAGTTCATGAGGGACATAAGGGACACCTGAGGCATCCACCACAGGCCCAGCTGAGGTGGATGCTGCATATATAGTTGGCTCAACAATGCCAACCCAGGTCTTTTAACTATTGTTGAACCTCAGAATCACAAAGTCATCAAAGCCCTCTTATGGACCAGGAATAAATCTTCTGTCACCATCCTCCCTTTCAAAACACCCCCCCCAGACCTTCCTCTGATCACCTTAATTCCCTTTCCATTAAATAAGCATTATTCTGAGCCATATTTTTCCAAACAATTTTATGAATCTTCTATGCAAATTGCAGCTATAACACTATACAGACGATGAAAGTCTCTGTTATAGGAAAGAATTCTAATTAATCTGCTTCATCTTCCGTGTAACATGTGGTAAGAATCTTTCTTTCTAAGGATTTGGCTTGTTACACCAGTTCTCCATCTTGGCTGCATATTAGAATCCTGGAAAGTTTTGAAAACAATACCTATGCCTAGGTTCCATCCCCAAACAATGAAATCAGTATCTCTGGGCATCAGGTCTAGGCATACATATTTTTTAAAAACTCTCCATGTGATTCTAACATGCACCAGAAATGAGAATCATTGTTCTTGCAGACCATAAATGTTGGTAAAGTCTGGGGTTTCAGGCAAACCCAGTCAGTTTCCTGCCCATTCCTGTTTCTCATTTTGGCTACAAACCATCTTTTTGTAAAGCATGATCTGTCCTGAGAGGACAAGAGGGACATCAGACAGACATGAAGCTGTTGTCAAGGAAGTCTTAACTAAATTCAGACCAGTCACATGTCATGAGTTCAATTCTGTATCACTGAACATTGATTTACTGTCCAGCTATAAAGTATGGGGTTTTTTTTGGAATAACTCTGAAGACTATAAGATGAGAAAATATCACACTATTAGATGAGAAAGCAGAATTTTCTCTTTTCTATGATTGCAGGTACATAAAAACACATTTTTAAAAGCCTGAAAATGAAAACACAAAATAATCATAGTTAAGATATTGGATATTTTTTTTCTTTTCTTTCAAAACTTCTTTTGTGTTGATCATCACACTTTTAAAAGTCTCCACATTGCTGGGCCTCAGTTTCTTGTCTGTAGATCACACCAGGAGAGCTGCAAGGCCTCTCACAGCACCACAGTCTGATTCCAGGCTCCTGTGACACTGTTTCTATGAGACCAGTTAAGCAAATGTTATCCAATATGTTTCCCTTGGTTTGGAGTCTGGGCCAAGCAGGCTCTGAGCCAAACATGCTCACCTCTTAAGCTCTTGAGCACACCCACCCACGGCTCTGCCCTTGCTTCCGCCTACGCCATGCCTTCCCGCATGCCAACCTTCCTCTGTGGTCTCCTTCGCCCACTCACAACTGCAGGCCTTCTTCCGGGCCGCCCCTACATGATGAGCAGTTTGCCAGTTAATATACATCAAGCTGTCACCTTCGAACAACTCAGAGAGCCCCATCTGTTCTCAGGAACATTCCAGCTAGAAGGATCACCCACCGTCAGCAGCTCACAGGGTCCCTCTGAGTGCTGAGCAGTGAGTCCCCTCTGAGCCCAGCAGGGCTTGGCACCAGGAGCAAGAGGCAGGACCTGCCTGGACCGTGGACCCCACACTGCACATAATAAGGACCGTCTTCTCACTGTTGGAATCTTTGTGGGTCAAGGTCCATCCTGAACCACCTTCGCTGGAGAGATCTGAGGGCTGAGGACCACACAGTCCTGGACGCCAGCACTGGGTTTGAGGAAACTTCATCTAGTGTGGATCTGGGGTGCTTGTCCTTTACAAAGCATCGCATAATAATTGCTACCACCCATTGCCTCCTGTGTGCTGGCTGCTCCAGACTCTTTATGCCGTCTAATGTTCCCAGCAACCTTTATGTAGGTACCGTTCTTATAACCATGTTTTTAGATAAGGACATTGAAGCTTAGACAGTTAAGTAATTTCCCCCAAACACACAGCTAAGTGGTAAGACAATGTGAAGTATTGGTTCTGAACTCAAACTGCCTGGATTTAAATTCTACATCTGTCACTTACAAAGTGTGTGAATTATTAATCTCTCTGAACCTCAGCTTGCTCTTTTATTAAATAGGGGTAATAATCCCTGTTTATCAGGA